TTATTTATAAAATTTTGATTAACAAATTTTTCATGCAAATTGAGAAGAAAAAATACTATCTACAAAAATTTGCTGGATTCCTGGGTATAACCAAACTACTCTAAAGATTGCAAAAGACTGCAATCTAGAAAAATATATTCACAAGATTGAAAAAATACTGTATAACCTTGCCATACTCCAGAATATACAGCATATCTCAAAAGAATATATACATATTTTGACTTTTAACCCTTCTATCTTTATTTTCTCAATTTTAATTTAATAATTTTCTAATTCAGGGTAAATATTATGATATAAAATTGAAATCTAAATTATAAAATCAGTATTGAGAAAGTAAAGATAAAATTTATTAACAATTAAAATATGTGTACACTTTTTTGAGACACAATGTATATTATATATAGACTATCCATAAAATCCTTGTACAGTTTGAAATTTTAATAATTGCACTTTTATGCAAAATATAAACAATCTGTAAACATGAAATAGAGAATATGAATTAAAAATTCATTTAAAATTAATCTTCTGAATGTTTTAATATATTGAATGTATTCAACTGAAAATCAGTTGTATCCTCTAGTTAGCTGAGTTGAGGACAGTATTAGTAGTCATTTCACTCATAATATACAAGTTTTCTTAGCAGTTTTCATAAATCTTGATCTTACATATCAATACCTCAATCCATAGACTTGTCTCCATTGCACTATTTCACACATGAACATGTAGATATTCAAGTTTATTCAATAAAGCAACTCTACTCAAATTGTAGCGAGGTCATCAGTCATATTGTTGTCTTTACACAGCTGCTAATTATTTGTATTCTACTTATAACTATTTTTATAACAGATTAATATTTTAATGAATAGCAATTTTAACAATTTTGGATATAAAATAAACATTAATCAAAAACATTTCGGTCAGTAGGAAAAAAATAAGGTTTCTTAATCAGAATGATGATACTCCAGGATTTTTATTTCAATAAAATTTTTTTCTAAATTGTTAATATCTTGAGCTGTTAATTAATTCTCTCTTTATTATACTACCTCTTAAACAATGGATACATTCATAAATTTAAACAATTTAAACACATTACTAACAAGTCAGTCATAAAATACTAATTCCACTCAGTGTACAGTACATGCATAATGTTTATGGTGTTTCAAATGAATTTACCAAAGGAAAGTACTAATTTACATCTTGAAAAAAATGGCATCCAGCAATACTGATGTTTATGAATCTAAATAGAAATAAACCTACCAAATTTCAAAATTTTTTGGTTCATCTAGTCATGCTATATAATGTGAAATAGATGCTCATGCACACAATTTTGTAAGGTTTCTTTTTTACAGTTTGGTGCTCCTGGAGTGTCAAAAAGTTGGGAAATACCAAATATATCAAATACCAAATACCAAAATATCAAAGGGGATCAAAAATCTGACCAATCACCATACTTTCCCATACTTATAGAATATAACATAGAGAAAGTAATGTTAATAAATTATTCATCCTAAAAAGAACAAGTCTAAATCAGTAATGAATTCTGTATCATCAATTCAATATCAACACACACACACACATATATATATATATATATATATTTTTTTTTTTTCAGAATTTCTCTACATACTATTTCATCATCATATTACAATAGCATTCTCTATATTTTATTGCATCATCTTGTATAATAATTATAAATCTAAAATAAAATTCAGAAATAATATAAAACTTTGCTCTCAAATATCTGAAAACAAAATCATTTCTTTAACAATGTAACCATAACAGAAGTGATATTACAGAGTTTGCATGTGAGATATTTTATGTTATATTTACTGGACATTATAATTATAAACACACAACATTAGATGACATTTGTGGATCAAGAATGTTATGTTGTAAAAATATAACAAATATGGACACCGTTGAAGCTCTCTCTTTGTTTTCTCCTGGAGATACTGAAGATCATGCCATTGCATTAACAGAGAGGTTGTGGCCAAAGTTTTCAATGCAAAAACAGGTATGTCAGACATTCAACACTGCTTTCCTGTAAGCCTAGAAGTTTGACAATGGTATTTGGAACATCAAGTATGATTCCACTGACGTTCCAGATGACATTGTCAAATTTCTAGGCTTACAGGAAAGCGATGTTGAACATCCGACATACATGTTTTCGCATTGAAAACTTAGGCCACAACCTCTCTAACAATTAAATAATTAACAGACTAAAAGCAAAATTGCAAACACACATACCAAAGCAAAAACTGTATGTCTGACAAATACCAAGAACATTCTCATGTGGGCGTGCATAACAATAATAATGCATTGACATCAATAAAGGATCAGATATGATTGGTTCCACAATTTTATAAAATAAACTTCTAATGTGAAACTTTTCTTATGCTTATACTGGTGCATTATACATAAAGTTATAATGACATTTTTACAACAAAATACTGTGCATAAACTATATATTAACATCATTATTAATTTTGCTAAAATTCAGATATATTATTAATAATGAAGAAAGCATTTGAAAAAATAAAATTTGTGAATTCACTTTAATTTATTTTTATCATCAGAAATTTATTTTTCATTACATTCAACTGTACAGTAGACCCCCCTATAACGCTTAGATACGTTCCACGCTAACCGAAAATTACGTTGTAGGAATGAGCCAATCGCAGCCCGATAGGTGGGAACTTTACGGACTAAGGCTGTTCGAAAGGTTTTCTTCTATAAAATTAACCGATTCTAGACTAATTCCACTCAACATTTCCAAAATACGTATAATTTTTTGGGAATAATCTGTATAAACTATGCTATAAACAAAAAATTGTAGGATTACTTACACCGTTCGACTACGCCGTTGCTTAAAGCTGGTTTTCATCGCGGAACAG